ACGGACTATTATTATGTTTATTATTTTCTAGGGATCCTACACAGTGGCAGCCTTTGATTCATGACAGACAGTTTCTATCGTGGCTTGTTAAGGTACCATCAGAACATGAACAGCTCAGAGCAAGACAAATATCTGCACAGCAGATTAATAAACTTGAAGAATTATGGAAAGATAATCCAGATGCCACGCTTGAAGATCTTGAAAAACCAGGAGTTGATGAAGAACCAAGTGCTGTACTACTAAGGTAACACTACAAATTTGTCATTTCTACAGTGGATTGACATACTAGTCGCCTTTTTTCTGAACAGATCTGATTCAGCCCAGCCTGGTGTCCAGTATAATAACCAGTTAGGCCTTGTGTGTCCAGTCTTGCACATTCTAGTCTGGTGTCTCATCCAAAACAATTCAGCTTGGTGTCCAGACACAGTTCAGACATTTCCATTTTTATGTATGCTTTATGTTATTAATGTTATAGATATGAAGATGCATATCAATATCAGAATATCTTTGGTCCATTGGTCAAATTGGAAGCTGATTACGATAAAAAATTGAAAGAATCTCAGACGCAGGATAATATTGTAATACGATGGGATATAGGTCTCAATAAGAAAAGAATATCTTATTTCAATTTTCCAAGACGAGATGGAGGTACGTTTGTGATCTTTAAACAGGTTTTGTATGCTGGGATTTTATTGTTTTTTTTATCAATTATTAAATTACTTAATATTCAGTACCCATGCTTGATTCAGTGTATTTGGTGTATTGATATACCTGATGGGAATAGACATGATACCGGTAATCTTAGTATAATGATGCCAGTGCATCAATACGCTTGTTACTTTGTTAATCAACAAATCCTATTTCTCAAATCCGAGCTTATGGTAGTGGTTAGACATTTTTTTTTCGTTAAGGTTAATCCATTGGCTAATGATACACAATCACAAAATGTACCATTAACTCACTGGCAAACTAAAGCAAATTAGCGACTATTGTATTTTTATGTTATACATACAGATGAAAAAATAATACTTAAAGTGCCTGTGGAACACCCACCTACACATTTATGTTTTGGTTAGGCTGAACAAGTTTGTAAATTGACTAAGAAAACAAAGTAGTATTTGGCCACTACAACTAATACTATTCTTTAATAGCAGGAGCTCTGACCTAATTTAACATGCCTGTTTATCTCAAGCTCACTTTTTTTTCTTTAACCACTCACTGGTTATTTTTAATTCATGCTATTGTGTACTTGTTACCTTTGAGGATTACTAAATTATTCATGTGATCTGATTTCTCTTTTCACTTCTGTACATATATGCATTTGATATAATGTGAACCACTGTAATTTCACTGCAGACATGTTAATAGGGAGGTCCAGAATTTTGTAAAAGTGAACATTTGAGATCAGTACGACTGAGTTTCGATGACTGCTTCAATGTTGTCGAACTATAAAATCACAAAAATAAATAGCAGTGAAAATAAAATAGTTTACAGTACTGTCATTGTCTGACCATTTGTCCATATGTCAGTGTGTCTGATCATCTTATCTGTTGGTACTTATTGTGTTTGGTGGTAATAACAAAATAAGTTGATTATTTAAAAATTATGTCAAAAGCACGCTAGACAATACAATTTGAAAAAGAGAGATTGTAATCTAGTATTGTCTAATATGCATGTATTCTTCATATTTCAGATTTAAAGTTGATGCATGGAGATGAACTGAGACTTCGTTACCTTGGAGAACTACATAAACCGTGGTCAGGTGTTGGACACGTTGTCAAAATACCAGACAGTATCCTCTTTATTTTTATCAATATAATGTTAGGAATAACTAGTTCATTCTTATCCGTGTTGGTTTCATGATTCTTGCCACAATGATCAACTCAAAATACTGTATTTGTACCAGACAAATTTCACAAGTTTGTTGCAGGAGATTTTTTTTTTACCCCCGCCACTAACCCTAACTCTCACAGCATCCTTACAGAGTGAAAATTGCAACCTCCTCCAAGGGTGTTATTAAACGATCTATAATTCGTAATGATCTACAAATGTGCACAAATATTTAATGAATAGTTTTTCTATGACATTTTGAGTTGAATGTACTGATATACCCTTTAATTGGTTATATTTAAAATATCAAAGCCCCCTAGGGTGTCATTAAATAGAAAAACCAGATCAAATTGGAAAAAACAGTAATTAATTCTTTTCAACTCGATGGATAACCCATTCCCAGGATAATATGTATCCGAAAAAATCAAACTGAAAGTTTTTGCCTGTATTAAATTATTCATGCAGTGTTTTACAATGGTTTTAATACCCCTGCAGTCGATAGCGTATTTTCATGTTTATTATCGGTTAAAAGTAACTGCACAGTTAGATTCTGTGTTGACTTACTTTCTTAAAATAAGTAATTTGTTTGTTTTACTAAATTGTTGATTTATATGGAAAATTATGTTATAGAAATAAGATTTTGAGTGAGGCGAGGTGAAATCTATTTTTACATGTATCATAATATTGGGGGGGGGGGGGGTAATGACATTTGCCCTAATAGAATAGAATCAGTATACAATAAACATAGTTTATTGTATACTGAGTGGGTCATTACGTGTTACGTACCTCATTTACATAAGTGTATACATAAATAGAGCAAATGCTTTTAATGAATGTCTCATAAAGATATAACATTGAAATAAAAGTCTATCAATAACAGTAAAATATGAAAAACTGACATTACCGGTACTGATGTAAAGAATAGTACATGTATTACAAAAATTACATTGGTAAGCTGAATCTTAATATTTGTAAGAGCAATATACAGTGCATTCCGTCATGTGAGGGACAATGTGTAAAAAAAAAAAAACTGTTGCCATGGTAATTGCATTAATTTCCAATTCGGAAATTATTCTATTTCTTTAGAAAATTTATTAGTATTGCAGTCTAATCAATTTTATAATTGTTGCCAGAGAGTATTTTTAATTGGTTTGTTTACGGAAACCTGTTTTAGAAATCAAATTACCAGTCTTTTATGGATTTTTTTATATGCATGAGGTTGATTGATATTTTCACATAATGGCGTGAATTCTAAAAATAGTAAAAATTAATTGGAAAGATGGTGCATGTACCGTCAAATCATGTAGTTATACTACATTCATTTGTTGTTTTGTTAGAATGTCTTCTCAAATAGAAACCCATTTGGACCAAGAAGATTACTTTGGTGTACCAACCTTACCGCTGAGGCTTTACTTGCTTTTATATCCTGTTTGATGGTGTACACTTCCAGCTACATCTGATCAAATGACTAATCAACCGATCCTAGGAGGGCTTGCGGTACTAGAGTGGTCTGTAACTAAAGTAAATTCCTGAACAAAGATTTGTATTGGTTACTAAATACTAAAAATGCTCTGTTTACTCTATGTGCGGAAACACAATAGTGATGTTCATGTTAGAGATCTTGAGCGTGAATGGTCGGGACAACGCTTGGCGAATTCTGCTTCGCAATGATAGGAAGAGCCGACATCGAAGGATCAAAAAGCGACGTCGCTATGAACGCTTGGCCGCTACAAGCCAGTTATTCCTGTGATTTTCTGTCTGAACGCTCGACACAAGCTAAAATCACGCCCTCAGTGGTGTATTTAAAAGAACATGTACTGATTCATACTAGTATGACATGACGATGGAGAGAAGTGAAGCTAGATATGGTCGGATGCTGTTGTTATGAATGAAATGAATGTAAACTGGATAATTATATGCTGCTGCAACCGTTTTTTTCTTACAATGCGTGAACAAATAATTGTTTTTTGAATCTTCTTTGCTGTTCATGTGCATGATAAATCGAAATAAATGCCATAACAGCAAATGGATATAATTTCAATCTAACTATTATTATCATTGTATGCGTGTCGTTTTCCATGTTTTGGTCAAAAACAGATTGACGAATGAGGGCGTGATTTTGGCACGAGCCGAGTTGGTCCCAAGTGGGACCCAACTTAACGTGGCCGCAACGTCTGTAATCTCTCTCTGCAAACACAAAAGATTAAAAATTTCGGCACGAGCTGAGATCCCATAACGTAGCAATAGTGTCTTTAGTAGCAAACTTGAGAAATAAATCAAACCAGACGCATGTGCCATCCATTTTGAAATGTGATAAACTCTTCCTTAACCCTACTTTTCAAGACTACGGTGATGAGGTCGGTATTGAATTGAAGAGCAATGCTGGTGTTCCGACTGAGTGCACTCATAACTTTGTTGTTGACTTTGTTTGGAAATCAACTTCTTTTGACAGGTAAGATTTATTGCCATTATTTTCTGTTTGCAGGCTGAGACTGAACAGTTCATTGCTGATGAAAGTGATAATAGTCTCATCTCTTTGCAACTAAATTATGTTGAGATGCTGATGTCTATTTTGAGAGAATACACCAAGCCCACTGTAGGTCATACGTGTATTAACTAATTAAAAGTAAAACAATTAATAGTACTGTGTGAATGAAAAATATGTCCATTTGATCCATAATTAGCAAAGAAATTATAGAAAAATACTGTAACATAAAAATGTTGCATTGAAATGTTGGCAGGAAAAATAATTCATTCAAACAGTTGATCATAATTTTGTGTGCGTTTGTTCTTGTGAACAATGTGGCAGCTAATATACGCCTATTTTTATAACAATCTTAATTTTGTGTATTAAAAAACTTCAACATCTAATATCTGTAATTTTCATTTTATGTTAACAAAACCGTGTGTCGTCTTTCTATTATAGAATGCAAAGTGCAATGAAGACGTTTGCCGTAGATGAAACGTCTGTGTCTGGTTACATCTACCATAAACTGCTAGGACATGAAGTAGAGGAGGTGGTTGTTAAATGTAATCTACCAAAACGATTCTCGGCGCCAGGATTACCAGAGTTGAATCATTCGCAGGTCTATGCTGTGAAAACAGTGTTACAGCGACCATTAAGCCTTATCCAGGTATCAGTTTTATTTATCAGTTTTAGTTGATTTTGATGATGAAATGTCCAGAAATGGATCTCGGGCATGCATAGACATATTTCATTCAAACTTGTTATGGCCATTAAGCATAAGGGGTCTTTGATGCACATCAAGGTTTGTCCAGATTTGATTAAAAATGGCCGACTAATGGTTATTTTGTTTTTAACGATTGCTGTTTTTTGAGCCATATTGCTACCTCGGCTGTACTGATCATGTTCAAACTTTACACATACATGCAAACATGCATCTGTTTCAGAATCTGTTTCATGATGGCTAATCATCTTTCGTGCTAGAAATGCATTATGAATATCATGGTCAGAATAAAGGAAAGAATTGCACAAATAAATTGGCTCCACTTTGTATCATGTCTGTTGCATGAGTGTAAATAATTATTTGGCACTAATGCTGACAGTAACTAAACCTGGACAGGAACTTGTCATTAACAATGAGTTGTTATATTTGAAACAATTGATTAGGTCTGTTCTTATTTCAGGGTCCGCCTGGTACCGGTAAGACTGTCACTTCAGCCACTGTTGTATACCATCTTTCAAAACAGAACCTTGGGTAAGATTTCAGTTTAATAAAGGTCTTTATTTTTTCACCATATAAGACAAGTTGACTGTCAAAACCTTCTTATGAGTAGAGAAAATGATAGGTGGCCAGAAATCTGATCACAAATTAAGGATTTTCTGATTGGCTGGAGTTTACATAATTATTTTGGGAAAATAAATGTACTTTAACTTGACTACAGTTATACCTTACTTGATTAGCTAGAATTTCAGATGTTATTAGTCCCCGTTCGGACGAAGTCCGAAAACGGGGACTTATAATTCGGTCTCCGTCCGTGCGTCCGTCTGTCCGGAGTCGTATCTCAGAATCCCTTGGACCGATTCCGTTCATTCTTTGCATGTGTCTAGAACTTTATGTGGGACATATGCACATGCAGTGGTTTAGCGATTCGATTCAAAATGGCCTACTGTCAGCCATCTTGTTTTTTGAAAATGTTGTATTTTGGACATGCTTTGTCAGTTGTCATTCAACCTTAGTACATAGATTATACATGTTAGGATACATGTCCATGACGATTTATTTTGCAATTGGATCAAAGATGGTCGACTGGCAGGCATCTTGTTTTTTTTATGTGGTATCTTGGACGTGCTCTGTCAGTTTTCATTCAAATTTGGCACATACATGTACTTTATACATGTTAGGATGCATGTCCATGACAATTTGTTTCAAAATCTGGTCAAGGATGGCCGATTGACAGCCATCTGACTTTTTGGCCTTACTGTGCTATATTTCCATTTATGTACCATTTTCATTCATATTTGGCACATACATCATACATATCAGTGAGTTTCATAATCAGATCAAAGATGGCCGAATAACGGCTGTTTTTATTTTTGGCCATATTACTACTACAAGGAGCACGTGTTTTGATGTAAATAAACAATCTGTTGTATACGCCACCTGGAACTCAAGTTTCAAGGACACGCTCGCGACAACCCCTCTGCTTTAATATGACAAGCACAAAGAGAACTTTCAAAAATTTAACGGGGACTGTGTCATTTTTAATGACTTGTTATTTAGTAACCAATAGGGAAGAACCTTGTGATTTTCTTTTACAGACTATAGAAATTGTGGGTGGCTCACATCTCTTTCCACAATGAATTATTTCCACGCTTTACATACAATGTAATAATATACTGATGATACTAGTATGTGAATTATGCATTTTTAAAATGTTTTTCTTCTTTGCAGTCAAGTATTGGTGTGTGCTCCTAGTAATATAGCTGTTGATCAACTAACTGAAAAGATACACCGTACTGGCCTGAAAGTCGTACGTCTATGTGCAAAGAGCAGAGAAGCTATTGATTCACCGGTCTCATTTCTGGCATTGCATAATCAGGTAACATTGATATTGTCAGCTTTTGATTCGCTCCTCTTCTGTAAAAAAAAGGACCAACTTGTTTTTATTTCACATTAGATTGCAGGCTTGTGAATGAGTGTGTCAGTCAGTTCATGTGCTTGATTGGTTGGCAAAAAGTCATCATTTCCTATTGTTGATTTCACGTTATAAATGACGGATTCATTTTAGGTTCGTAACATGGATGCCATTCCTGAGCTACAGAAACTGCAACAACTGAAAGATGAAACCGGGGAATTATCAAGTGCTGACGAAAAGAGATATCGTTCTTTGAAAAGAAATTGTGAAAGAGAACTTCTACAGGTATGTAGCGTCATCCAGGCATTCTCATTCCAGATTGTAAATTGTTTCTACTACATGCTAGCCAATTTATCACATCTATCTGCTCATATTGTTTACTGGGGTTGAACACCAATTCTTGTGCACATAGTGAATGTGTCAAATAGATTTGCTAATTTTGTTTGCTAATAGATGTGCATGCAACCATGGTGAGGGTGCATAGGTCATTGTTTCAATCACGCCTTGTTTGATTTCCCGGGATAACATGTTAAATTGTTGATGTGTCATTATGATTAGATGATGGTCACACAGCCCAGTCATAAACATGTACGTTGAATGTCTTGCCGCCGCCTGCCAAGAAAATATTCTTCAAACCTGCCTGTAATACTTTTTAATATGAAACGTTTTTTTCTGTCTTTGTAGAATGCTGATGTCTTGTGTTGTACATGTGTTGGTGCAGGGGATCCAAGATTGGCAAGGTTCCGATTCCGAAGTATTCTAATTGATGAAAGTACTCAAGCCACTGAACCTGAGTGCATGATACCTGCTGTGCTTGGTGCCAAACAGGTAAGGAAATGTACTATAGTTTACATTCAACAATGTCTTTACTGTGTGTTAATGCAGCATGTTGTAGACCCCATGTGTGGCTTATTAGTCCCCGTTCGGACGCAGTCCGAAAACGGGGACTTATGTTTTGCCCTGTGTGCGTGCGTCCGTCCGTGCGTCCGTGATCACCTGTATCTCGAACATGCATGGACCGATTAAGTTCAAACTTCACTCATACATCACACATTGTATGGGACATATGCACATGCATTTTTTTCATGATCCGATTAACGATAGTCGAATAGTGGCCATTTTAAGGCCGAAAATGCATCAAAATCGCACATTTTCACCATTCCGGACCCGGATCTCAGTTATGCATGGATGGATTTTGTTCAAATTTGGTACATACATTAAACATAATAGGACCTTGATGCACGTCTTTTTTTTTCGGATCAAGTTCGAAATGGCCGACTGGCGGCCATTTTGTTAAAGAATTCAGTTCTGGATCCGTATCCAAGACATGTCTGGATTGATCAAGTTCAAACTTCACACACACATGGTACATCATGTCACAAATAGATATGTGCATTTGTTTCATGATCTGCTTAACAATAGCGGAATGATGGCCATTTTAAGGCCAAAAATGCATCAAAATCACGTATTTTCACAATTCCAGAACCGGATCTCAGTCATGCATGGATGGATTTTGTTCAGATTTAGCACAATGTGTTGTACATATGCAGGTGCATTTCGGTCATGATCTGCTTTGAATGTATATGTCACTCAAATATGAACGGAACGGGGACGTGTCATTGACAATGACTTGTTGGTTAATGAATCTGCTCAACGTTTTGTCCATGTAAGCGTCAATCCTAGTTGAGCTGGTGACTTCTAGACTGAAATCTTCAACAGAGCTTTTTTTTTTTTTACAGTGAATAAATAAATGAGAACAATAAAAATATGCTTTCTTAAAACTTTAATGCATTCATTGGAACATTGTTGCATTATTATAATGGTTAATTTAATGACAAGCTGAACCATTAAGAAAATTTACCAATTAGATTATAATTGTAAAGTAAATAATCTGAGATAAAGTGATAATCTGTGATTTTGTCATTGAGGTTGGTCTGTCTACATTCACAATATATTTACACATAGAAATAATGTAAATATGTCTTGACTGTAGACAAAAATCTGTCGGTAATCAACATTTTTTTTGAAACAAAGTAGGTAATCAGTTGTTCTGATCCTACAACATCTAGAGTAATCTCAAAAATTTGTTCCCTGGGCGATAAACTATTTCTTTCTTATTGATTATATTGGAAATACTGAATTAGATGAGAGAAGCTGATTCTAATACTGTCACTATAATGAACCTGTCAGATATTCATTGTGTTCCATGGATTTATTGTTTTTACAATTATTTTATCTCTTAGTTGATTCTCGTGGGCGATCACTGTCAGCTTGGTCCCGTTGTAATGTGCAAGAAAGCAGCCCGAGCTGGTCTTTCTCAGTCTTTATTTGAACGTCTTGTTGTATTGGGTATTCGTCCAATACGTCTGCAAGTACAATATCGTATGCATCCGATACTCAGTTCTTTCCCTTCCAATATCTTCTACGAGGGATCCTTGCAAAATGGTGTCACCCCAGGTGAGTTATTATTGTAGTTATCGGTTATTATTGTCATTGGCAAGTACTCTTGTGAATTGTGAACAAATTTTGCCAAAAAAACTCAAAAGCCCTCATCTACAGATTTGGTCAAATCAAATTTATTTTACGTCTGTAGGTGAAAGAAGCAACAAGTCTCTGGACTTTCCATGGCCGCAGACTGATAAACCGATGTTATTTTATGCTACCACTGGTCAGGAAGAAATTGCTAGCTCCGGAACCTCTTACTTGAACAGGTAAGCAAATCTTGTACACGCTAGCTAGTTACCAGTAATGGTTGTAAGCCATGTTCATTACATGCTGTCCTATTGATATTGAATGCGTAGTGTATACGATATAGATAAATGTACGTCAAGGATTATGGCGATACTGGCCCTTGCAGCAAATGCCAAAATTTAGCATTATAACTATTTCAAAGTTAATAAATATGAGATTGTTTATGCACTGTATTTGTTCTATTAGTATTCTATTAGTATTGCATGTGTTTATGTAGATAACACAAGTGTGTCTATATGGTTCAAATCCAGTGTACTTTAAATGAATTTATGCATGCTTCTATTCAGTATGTGATTCTCATGAACCAAATGCGTTTTATCATAAAAGAAAAATTGAAAGATAGTAATAATATTGTGCATGTTTTCAACAATTGTTCTTGTGCAGAACTGAAGCGGCCAATGTGGAGAAAATCACCACACGCTTTTTGAGATGCGGTATTCGGCCAGAACAGATTGGAATCATCACTCCCTATGAGGGTCAGCGGTCGTTTATTGTGCAATACATGCAACACAATGGATCACTTCATGCCAAGCTGTATCAGGAAATAGAAATTGCCAGTGTGGATGCTTTCCAAGGACGTGAAAAAGATTACATCATATTGTCCTGTGTTAGAGCCAATGAACATCAAGGAATTGGTTTCTTGAACGATCCGAGACGTCTGAATGTAGCATTAACAAGATGCAAGTATGTAGTCAATATTTTTTTTGTCTTGATGACATTGTTGTCATAGTAACACATCACTTTATAGTTGTATCATTATATAGTTTTCATATTAACTTTCTCTTTTACATTTATTACCATGTGACTTTTTTCACCCATTGAAAGTTTACCTCATTTGCTCTGTGAAGAAAGTTCGTTGTACTGGTATATTTTAAATTATTGAACCAATTTCTTGCATGAATGAGAATTTTGTGTAAACAATGGATTTTATATGCACTCTGTTTATTGCATTACTCTAGGACACAGTTGTGATGACAGTGAGGCTTTATCTCGGGCTCTAGTTATCACATTTAAAATGTTTGTTTATTTCAGATTTGGAATCATTATTGTTGGCAACCCTAAAGTGTTATCTAAGCAAGCTTTGTGGAATCATCTGTTGAACCATTATAAAGAACAGAAGGTATTGGTTGAAGGGCCGCTAAATAATCTGAAAGAAAGTATGATTCAGTTCAGTAAACCACGTAAACTCATCAATACCACTAATCCTGTAAGTATCTGATGGCCATGTGAATTGTATCACCTGCTGCCCTTACTCATGAACCCTTGATTGTGAATGCTATGACTATCTCCATGCCGGTGTATCAGGTTGGGAATAAGCCAAAATAATTTAAGAGTTTTACCAAAAAAAACAACAACATATTTTGAACGGTATAACATGTTTACAGCATTTTATTGCCTTGGCATACATTGCTATATTTATTGAATATGTAGTTCTGTTCTGATGACGTCTGTCTACTTGCATTCCTGCACTGAACATGTTGAAACTTCACACATATATTTCTTTTGTAATTTGATTCAAAATGGCTGACATTTGGCCATTGCTTGTAATATCTCCTGTTAACGAAACCATAATTAATGTGTTTAGACAACTTTCATACAATTAGACTCTGTGGAATGAACTCAAGGATTTACTCTGTACATGTGATTCCAATCATTTCATGAGGCATGCAATCTCTCAATTGTTGTTCATAGGGTGGTCGTTTTATGAGTACTGCAATGTTTGACGCAAGGGAGGCAATGATTCCTGGCAGTATTTATGATAGATCTGGAGGCATGGCTGGTGGATCAAGTAAGCACAAAATCTAAATAAATCTTTTATCTGAATATTCAACTGATTTAACAAATCTCTTTATGAGTAATACTGTTATACTGCTATATTATTACCATTAGAACTTTTTGTGAGAGGTGTTGTCTTTACTCCCTCCCCCCATAGAGTTACATGTATTAACTCCAAAATATACATACAGTAATACCATGTTTAATTAGGTTCATACCCTCAAATTGATATTTTTCACATACAAAATGTATAATCTATTCACAAAATGTTTAAAAACAAATCCAAATGCTTTCTTGAAACTGTATTGAGCCACCCTAAGCTGATCTTTTTTTTTTCCCCATCATTAAAATATTCAGATCACACAAATTATGATAAATACTACCATACTCATGATCAGATGGGTTTTATTAACTCTGAGAGAGCACACGCTGCCGGAGCCAATCTACCCATCCCTGTCAACATGTTCATGCCGCATATGCCACCACCCCATTCATACTACAACCAAGTACCGCCTGGAAGGCCACCACCCAAAGGACGAGGTCACGGGCGTCGGGGAGGTCACCATAGAGGGCAAAATCATTACAACAGTCAGAATGCGTCGCAGTTCACGACTGGTGGTCCGAGTCAAGCTAGTCAGGTAAGTGACCTTGCATAGGTGTGTCTAAGCATGGTATAGTATAGGAGTCAATTTGTTGGCCTTGTATACCCTTGGCTGACTGCTCAATCAGCAGTGTAAACTAGAATAAATTCTGCCCGAACCACCGAACATGTGATATTGAGTAAGGGAAAATGGCATCCTATCAGATGGGGCAATTAGATGCAGATTTTTCTCATGACTTGAGTCTCCTCTAATGGAATATAGAAATGGGGCTTGGTATAAATTAATAAATGAATGTAGATAAAACCTAAATATATATTCAATGCAACTGATACTTACCTATAGCATCTGCTATATTAAATATTTGTTGATGATTCTTGTGATTGTATGTTCACCTCAAAATAGGTAGCAATATTTTATGGGTAAAACCTTAACTTGTGTGTGAACTGAAAACCTAAAACTAAATGTTATTTTTGTGCTTTTTATTAGCTCCGCTGTCGACTTTGTCGAGCGGAGCTTATCATATGAGTGATTGTCCGTCGTCGTCGTCCGTGTCAATGTTTTACTTTTTCGACTTCTTCTTGAAAACTAAAAGCCTGAATGCTTTGATACTTGGTGTATATGTACCTTGGGTAGACCTCTCTTAGGTTTGTTCATTTCATGTTGATGTCTTCAATTCTCTAATTTTCGTGAATATTTTTGTAATTTTTGGTAAAAAGTAATATTTTCGACTTCTTGTTAAAAACCAATAGTTCAATTGCTTTGATATTACATATTTAGATACTACATGTAGACCTTTCTCAGATTTGTTCATTTCGTGATGATATCTTGGATTCTATAATTTTGGTGAATATTTTTGTCATATTTGGTAAAAAGTGATATTTTCGACTTCTTGTTACAAACCAAAAGTTCAATTGCTTTGATATTACATATATAGATACTACATGTAGACCTTTCTCAGATTTGTTCATTTCGTGATGATATCTTCAATTCCCTAATTTTGGTGAATATTTTAGTCATTTTTGGTAGAAAGTGATATTTTCCACTTCTGGTTAAAAACTGTAAGTCCGATTGCTTTGATACTATACATATTGTTCATTTTCTGATGATGTCTTCAGTTCTTTAATTGAAATGTGCATTTCTAACAGCGGAGCTATCTCAGCCGATAGGCTGCTTGTTTAATAAACAGGTTTATTTGAATTTATCTTGTCTTTTTCAGGACACTTCTCAACCATTCTCACAGGGCCCCCTAACTCAGGCTAATATGTCAATGAGTCAGCCACTGAGTCAGCCTGGTTTGTCTCAGCCGGGGCTTTCACAGCCAGAGCTCTCACAGGTTTGTAACGTTAAAGTTTAATTTCTTTTCTGTTAAAGTTGCACTCTAAGACCAGTAGAGCTGCTGAAATATTGTGTACCGGTACTTTGTGCGTACTACTGGCCACAGTAATTCAAAACAGTATCATCAATTATTTTTTACAGCACTTGCAAATGCAGACCATCAAATATTTCACATAAGGCTCCAACAAAACTCTGAGTCAAAGTATTTATACAAGACGCAATTTGATTTGTTAAAAGAAACTGTCAACAAACAAGGTGCTTTCCGATTGGCTTGTCTTTTAGCTGTTAAGGTTGTGTAGCCAATCAGCAACAGTCTTGTAAATCACTTTGACTTGGCTCACTTCATTTATCAAGTAAATTACAATCAGCTTTATTGGACAATACATTAGCGTTAACATCTGTTTACATAAATTAAAATAAATAAATTTGTTTACTCTTCACAGGACAGTTACCTGGGTGATGACTTCAAGTCGCAAGCAGACGTGGTACTGTCGCAAGATTCCACCTATCAAGGTGATCGCAATTATCAACAAGGAATGACAAACTTCTCTCACTATTAGACGACAACGTCAAATGTAAACGAGAAGATGTGAAAAAAGAGAAGGCATGAACGAAAAATAACATCTAAAATGACAACCTATAGGGAAAGTTCACAGAACAGTGATATTGTTACCATGGTGACGTGTCATTGTTGATGAGAGCAGCAGCAGCATGTGATGATTGCATCACCCAAACCCTAAAGGGTAGAGATGCAGAGCTGGAAACGATAAGACGCTAATAATAACAAGAATGATTCTCAGAACAAACGGTTAATTGGAAAATACTGATTAGGAATTAAAGAAGTTATTACAACTGCAACTTGGAAATATTTCATGAGAAAAACTATGCAATATTTGTAATATTGATTGAGATAATTCATACAGGCTGATAGACAGAGAGAACGCAGGTGGACACACAGACAGGTGAACAGGAATACAGAGATTGTGAAAGTTGTATTGTAACAGTTAGACAAAGACTGATAATAGAATTTGTCGTTATGATTATTGAGTCATATTGAAGGAGCTGTTCACATACTCGGTACTGGTGTATCGATATTCATCTTTTTTCTGAATGCTAGCAAAAGTGACAATGAATCGTGTGTACCTGGGGACAATACAACTTTCAGAATGCTCTGTTAGGAGCAAGTTATAAACATCATGACCATATTTTCTTTATTAGAAGCACATGGGGATAATAATCTCTCAGATCAACTCCAGTGTCGAGTAGACAAGTTTGGGGAAAACTGAATGATTCTAGATGTGAAAAAAGGGTATTCTGGTACTGGGTGATCATTTTAAAAATTATAATAGCTGGTATTAACATTTCAATTTTGAAGTCTGAAATTCAGAGATGCACCCATGGATACAAAATTTGTAGCGACGTTCTAGCATCATTTACGTCCATGGATTCATTAGAAATTAATTTGAGGGGACGTATTCTTCTGGCTCGGGATGTGCTTCTAGTAGAGAAGAGCATGGTTAAACTTGCTGTTACACCACGATAATGTCAGTATGGTAATGTTGCAGATGCTGATAAAACACTCAAAGCATCACCACTGCATCTCGAATTCGCTCGACCACAAACGTTGCAGAGTTTGATTCAGAAACCAAAAACATGAAAACTAAAGTTCTAAAAAAAAAAGCTAATGCTTGCATTCATAACTTCCCTAGGTGTCAAGAAGGAGGTACACCCTCTCTGCGGTGGATTAACAGTAAAGAGTAGTACCGGTAATAAAAAAACAAAAAACAAAAAAACATGGTGGCCAATACATTGGTCTCATTACTATGTCAACCACACACACACATGGCTGACCCACACCATAGTCGAGTACAGATTATAAACTTAGATACAAGTGATTGGTATTCTGATTAAACACCTACTTTTGTCACATTATGAATGTATGAATAGATTATTGCGCTTGAAGCAAAGCGCTTGTCAAAACCGATACACAGGGGGCAATTTCTGTACTTTTAATTATCACGATGACTGACTGGCAAATGTTTGATAATATATTTTTGGCCTGAAATGTGAACTTTGGAAATACATTATTGGTTTGTTAGGTATACGATTGTCAGAATCAGTACCTAAGATGGCTGGCCACTCTGCCGGGGAGTGGTTAAAATGGCCACTATTGGTTTATTAATCGTATGTTTTCATTTGTTCATATACCATTTCTTTCTTTTTTAACACAAAATGTGAAAATCCATCACTTGTCTTTTAAAAACAAAACATCCTGTGAAAAGTACATTCATAAGTCTTGATTGGTATATTGCAGGAATACTTGGTGACCTTGGGCCAGTCATTGCTGATGTGTTGTGTTGTGGTGACGTGATGAATTATTTTATTTTAGTCTTATTTTATGCATTTGTTGCTTTGTTATAATTTTACCCAAATTCTCCTATCTTGTGAACATGGATTTATTGTTTTTGTCAGCTTTAGAACAATTTAAGTATTTTATTTGAAAAATGTTTGAATTATAGAAAAGTACTAAAATATATAGAGATGTGAAATGTGCATCTGCTGTATTGACTCAGTGTTCTGTAATTCTCATTGTCTTGAATGTGATTCACGCATTGCATCATAGGAAAAAAATGTCATTTGCTTTCAACAATATGATTGTATTTCATCATCTCGGACATATTACTCAGAATGGTCGACAACACCATTTGTATTATGACGTTATTAGCCCGTTGCAGCATTTTGTCGAATACCAAATGTGTTGACTGCTGAAATTTTGAAAGTCGCGTGATCTCCATCGATTTAAACAGCTGCACACTGTATTCAAGAGACTGAGAATTGTTTGTGAACAAATTGAGATGAATTCTGCAACACTTGTAGTTTAAACTTTTTAAGCACCAAAGTCAACTTAAGCCACCTTCACAAAATATAACCCGCCTGATTTAATTCAAATTTTTTTTCAAAATATTCATCAAGACCTGCAGCCAATAGGAAATTGTCTGCTTCGTCCAAAATTCTAAAAAAAAACATCTAGAAACATCTTCAAAATTTGATGCTGTAAAGGTTAAACATTCAAACATGGTCAAAAATATTTTCGATGTGAAATGTTTTATTGAGAGATGATAGGGTTTTTGTTTTAGAAATGAACTCGCATAACATGACAATATTAGGAACATAACATTTGACACTGGGGAAGAAAAGGTATTTGAAATGAAAAAAAGGTAAAACTAGTAGAGAAATGTATTCAAGGGATGCATTTCCCAAATACGGCAGTAGTGATTTCAGATACATTTTTGTTCGTTTATAGAAATGTACGTTTTCATAATTTCAGTGTTTTAGCGCACATTCTTATTCATGTATTCTGTAGATTTTAATCGCAACCAAACATTTTTTGTAAGTAAATACTTTATTTTGCATGTGTGGATAAGTACACTTGTAAACAAATCTGATGTGGTTATTTTATGTACAAGTATACATTACACACCAATGCTAATTTGTTGTACCCCTTGTTGTCAAAATATGGTATTTGTAGAAAGAGTTAATACCTGGGGAGCGTAGTCTAGAATTGATTTCCAGAGGTTCAACACATCTAAAATAATCACTTATTAGCAGTGCAAATGTATTCAAAAGTTGCCAACTGCGACTGAATGCTTTCTGCTTAAATGATGCATGCTCAAAATGCAGGATTGGGACATACTCAATACTTGTAGCTTTCTGCAATCATAGTCATTTGTGTTATTTGTAGAAGTTTCAATGACATGGTAAATAGATTCTTGGCCATCCCTTTTTATATCACGTTATGCATTGTTGCAAAAACTTTTTTTGTCATTTGTAATTTTAAAAGTACAAAAATCTCCCATAATGCATTGCACATGTGAAGTAACATGCTCAGTAGTGCAACATTTGAATTCAGCTTGAACTGCCTTTAAGTGTGCAGTATTGTCATCACTGTGCTCACTTGATTCAGATGCTTGTATTAAAGTCTGTGTTATTTCAGACCATTTGCACAAAATGAGACCAGTGGTTTGTTTTAATAGTAACCAATGTCGTGATCTTGTTTGGTGTGATTGGTCAGGTAATTACTTTTTCAAGCATACTTTAGGGAGGAGGGGAAGATGTGTTCTCCCATAATTGTTTTAATTGTCAGTTGCAGTGTAATTGTACTTTGTACCTTATAAATTTCTCACTTTTAACTCTTATTTTAATGTACATGTTCTCCAGCATTCAAGCTTCATAATTGGATAGTCACCACCACATGGTAGTGCCCTGTACATTCTATTTGTTTACATGTTTTATTTCCAGTACTAATTTAGGATAAATAGATGTTTTTACTCACTTTCGCTATTTTTTTAATTTTGTTTGACAACCTCAAGCAAAATTGTTTTTTTTTTCTCTGGTGGTAGCACAATTCAGTGCGACTGATATAAATACTGACTAGTTTTGATTACAAGGCAGGCGTGATTACAAGGTTCTTTGCCCAAAAAACGCAACAGCTGTGACTGTGTTCTGAAACAAACTAAGTTAGTAGCTTCAGAGGACTGATCTAAGATTATTTTCCTCTTTGAGAGTAAAACTATGAATGACTGCTTCACCAATATAGATGTACTCTTATGGTTGTTTGCAGGTTTTTTAACGGATACACTGATTCCCATGATTTTTACACTATGGTTTTATTTTATGTTTTTCACAAAATTGACATAAAAAACATGGTCATGGAACTACTTTTAGTGTAAAAAAATGCTAAAAATACATTTAACATGGTTAAAATAATCTATTTTCCAATGACATATAGTGAACAAATAGCATATTTATAAGGTGGATAATTATTACTATTTGGATTACCATTTGTTCTCGAAATAATGCCTTTATACCTGATTAAAACATTCAAAAGGCTATGGCAAATATCCAAAGCTATAATTAAGGACCACTTTTGAAACCACAATTTTCACCATATTTAAGAGGTCAAATGCCTGCAAACAACCTTAAACTAACATCTGTAATAATTGTTAATCAGTTGAATACTTGCAAAATAAGTCCAGTCAGATATATCTTGTTAATGATCGTTGTGATAGCTGCGCTATGAGCATCTTTCAAATCTGTATGATTTGATGTACGCCAGGGTATTATTGCCATAATCTGTAGTTATATTCATTTTGTTAATATCGTGTGAAATACCATCTCCCAGATTTTTCTACAGAACCATACATGAAATACATATTTACTTTATTTAAGTTACAAAATCACATCTACATGTACTTCCAGTTTAAAATTTAGGGCTAGAAATTAAACCAATGTATGCTTTGAAAAAAAATAGTATGTGTGTTAAAGCATCAACCGCTTCTGTGCCATGTCGATTTGTAAAATCTGTTTACATGAATTTCAAATTAATTTATTTGCTTATCGGTGCTTGAATATTGGCTCATCATACTTACCGCAAAGTGTTAATACAAATAAGTGTTTGGTACCCTTCTGTAGAAGTTAACTTCTTACAGTCAGAACGGTTTACTCTTAATTTTAAGCTACAGTGTTGCATGTATACCTTGTTTCCCAGCTTGCATAGTCTGTTGCTGATGTCCAATAAATTTGGTTTGCTTTAAATAAGTATGTATATTGTCTTATTGATGCAGCTGTCAACTCTAAACAATGACCCCCACCCTTCTTGTATCCTGGAATCTATTCCAGTAGTATCATGGTACAGTGCTTGTATCTCCTTACCCAATCAGTAGTATCATGGTACAGTGCTTGTATCTCCTTACCCAATCAGTAGTATCAAGGTACAGTGCTTGTATCTCCTTACCCAATCAGTAGTATCAAGGTACAGTGCTTGTATCTCCTTACCCAATCAGTAGTATCAAGGTACAGTGCTTGTATCTCCTTACCCAATCAGTAGTATCAAGGTACAGTGCTTGTATCTCCTTACCCAATCAGTAGTATCAAGGTACAGTGCTTGTATCTCCTTACCCAATCAGTAGTATCAAGGTACAGTGCTTGTATCTCCTTACCCAATCAGTAGTATCAAGGTACAGTGCTTGTATCTCCTTACCCAATCAGATTTATGCTAAAATACTTGGCTTGTTCCAATAATATACGAATTGTCATGTACAGACCCACCAAGATAAAAAAAAAAAAAATGCCATGTCTGTTTGTAAAGGCTTGTTCAATAACGTGCCTTAGGTGAACTGTCCTGTTACTAATTAACGTACAGCCCAAATGTCTCAGTTTTCAACTTTGACACGAGACTGAGAACAAAGCTCAGTAGATTGAAATGTTAATTCCCCATTTTAAACACCCCAGAGATGAGGGCGCTCTTCAGTCATCAGAGCATTGACATTTATTAGCACATGTACTTTCAAACCATTTGGCCATAAAACTTAACTTCAAAGACCATTCAATACTGGACAAATTTAGACGGATATCTCCATGAGAGGATGTACCTTTAAGCTTTTCAAAGGATTTGATTTGAAAAAAATAGTATTTGAATCTTGTTTAGAACTACAGCAGGAATCATTTTCGTACCGACACACGTTTTATTCAGCAGTTAGACTTACAGTAATCCATGGACCTTTAAACTCCTTGGGTCAACGTCGAGTTGCTTGCCACCCTGCTCTTGTCCAAGTGATGCAGTGAGCATTATACAAACATTAGCACATGTTCAGGTGTCGGTACCATGTGTATCCATGACAATGCCGACTGCACAAAATACAACTTCTAATACAGCGGGTACTGGCCAACTGACTATCAACAAAAACGTCATCTAAATTGCTGCAATCCCTTAAATTCAAGATATTTCAAATCTATGGTAATAGTGCCTCCTACTAAGGTACAATGTATACTGGTATATACAGACATGTATACAGGTACGTTACTAAGTATCAAATCAATCTGAGTAGGTTTTTTAGGAAGTCTTTTAAAGGTAGCAATAATCAAACTATTCAGCAATTTACATGAAACTATTGATCAATTTTAAATACATTTATCAAGAAATACATCACATGTACTTTGTTGCACCTCTAAACATGTAATCAGCATTTGCCAATGCAAATATGCAAGGAATACTTGCAATAACAGTAGGGTACCAAAGTTATTTTCACTTGTCGTGCTAGCCCTGCTGCATTACCAATTGAAATTTTCCACAACCAGGGAAAGTCATTTGACGACTGTTATTGGCGAGAAAAATTGGTCAACACAATTTTTTCCCCTCCAGTAAACACATTGAAAGAAACATAACAGAAATAGGCCAGATATTCAACTTTTATTTCGTAAATATTGCAGTATATTTAACATTTTTATTTCGACTTAGACTTAGACTTAGATGTTGATTCCCTGATGGATTCTCTCATAGAAGCTGATCTCTTGCGCTTCAATACTGCCTCACGCTTTTCTTTTGCCCTCTGTGCCAATAATTTGGCATATTCAGCGGCGTCTTCCTTACCCTTGATAGCCCTGCGTTTCTTAAGAGCTAGGCGGTGGCGTTTCCGTTGTAGCACAACTGGTGTTATCAGTCTTTGAATCTTGGGAGCCTTGGTCTTTGGTTTTCTCCCTGTCAAATATTTAAGAATGAAATGATTGTCAACCTAATGTTTCCACCCACTAAACCTCCCTATCAATGGGGGAACATACTATATTCTGCTCAGTGATATTTACTAATCAATATTCATGATAATATAGCAAAACTAACAAATATTACCTGGTGAAGAATTTAATAAGTGGTAGTCAAACATATTAGACAAAAACCCTTTTTCGAATAAACTGTTTTAATTTTGAGAGACAAATTTTCACATAATTTTTGACAGTGAACATTTCTCTGGAGTCCAAATGACAGTAACTTGCTAACTGCCTTAATGAATGTCATAAAATCCTTAATCTTCGTAATTCATAACATAAAATTATATGGTTTACAGTACTGTAATCTTTTTAACAGCATTTTTTGGCACCGATATTTTGGTGCAATAGTTTATTCTTGCATGAATGTAGTTAATCACTGTCTACTGATCCAATTGGCACTACTTTGAAAACAAGCCATGCATGGCACAGTCCCAGTTATCAAATTTATAATGTATAGATTTATTTATAGTAACCATAGATTGAACATAAACATGTCAGAGCTATGGATCCAGGAGCTGATGCTTGATTATAATGATTTGTTTTAACATGAAAATTCAGTATCTGATCCAAGTACATATCCATATTGAGAGATTGCCCTGGAACAGCATTAATTAAAATGGCTACCATTTGGCGATTTTGAATCAGACAGTCAAACCAATACATCTGTATATCTACGAAATGATGTATAATGAATATTTAAACATAATCTGTCAGAGCAAGTCAGTTATATGGTATTAGAACCACATTCATTAAAACAAAGTGGCCACCAGTCAGTAATTGTAAGGTCCCATAATGTCTAATGTATATACCAAGTTTGAACAAAACCCATTTTAAAACAGTCGAGAAATGCTTGATTTCGTTGATTTTCCAGCACAAAAATGGCAGCCATTCGGCCATCTTGAATCAGATCGTGAAAAAAAATTAATGTGCACATGTATAATATTATGCATGTGTGAAGTTTAAATGTAATCAGTCCAGGCATGTCTAAGATGTAGGTCTGAACACACAAAAAGGTCAATCCATAAGTCCTTCTTTCAGACAGTGTCCGAACAGGGACTAACAAATGCATTGCATCATGGGAAAAAGAAGAGGTACAGCATGCAAATCAATATAATTTCAGCAGAGGAAAAAATTTACAATGGAAAGTCTTTCCTTGGCCGATAATAATACACATCTTCCCTCATTTTACAAGACCGTTCCTAATCAAAAGAATATTTTGCATTGTATGAACACCAAATATAATGACCTTGAAAGTCATTGCTGAAACAAATAGAAACCATCTACATTTGAAATATTTAAAAAAAATATTGAGTGGTGGTGGGTTTTCACCAGTTGTAATAAAATTCCAACTAACATGGCAGAACGTGCTCTATATACCAATTTCTTTCAGCAGACGATCGTGATCCATTTTTCGTCTATCACTTTACATACCTTCTTTTTCAGGAAGAGGACGTTTCACAACATACTGACGTACATCATCTTTTTTGTCTAAATTGAAGAGTTTTTTTATTTTACTGGCTCTCTTTGGACCAAGACGACGTGGGATAGTGGTGTCGGTTAGCCCAGGAATATCAGCATCACCTGTGAAAAAAAACAAAAAAAACACGCGATTCAATTCCTGATGTTCAAACAGGTCAATAAATTCACACCACAGCCAACAAGCCAAGCATGGCACAGTCCTTGTTAGTTATCAAAGTTGTATTATTTTGTTTATAGTAACATAGTACAATACTTGAGAGACATTGCCCTGGAACATCATTAATTAAAACAAAATAGCCACCAGTAAGCCATTTTTAATCCGATATGAAAAACAAAATGACATGCATTAGGGACCAATAATGTCTAATGTATGTACTAAGTTTGAACAAAATCTATATAACAATTGACATCTGTTTCCAGAAAGCCAGAAATGCTAGATTTTTTTTCAGCACAAAAATGGCCACCATTTGACCATTTTGAATTGGATCCTCAAACCAATATGTCTGTATATCTATGAGATGATGTATAATGAATATTTAAAATTTAAACATAATCAGTCAAAGCATTTCAGAGATATGGCAATAGAACCACATTCATTAATACTAAATGGCCACCATTTGAATCTGTTCTGAAAAACAAAATCAGGGGTTGCATTAGTGTTCGATAATGTGGAGTCCCTGGGACCCACCCCTTATAAAATGTGTGGGTCCCTTAAAAATATGTGGGGTCCCTGCCGCTACCGCACTTTATTTTTCTAAAATTGTTTTTTGCACGAACTATTACACAATAAACATACAGGCATTAATCACATTTATATTGTACTTTATTTACATGTTCATTCCAGCCTTT